GAACTTTTTTTTTTTTTTTTTTTTAAAGTTTGGTACCTCCATGGTTTACAGCAGGACTTTGAAATTTGGGAGAGGGATAGTCATGGACAGAGGGAGGTGCCTTGTGCTACCACCTGTAAATCCATTCAGATTTGGCCAAATTATAAGAAGTCAAAAATCACCATTTTTCCTCTGTTTTTCCCTCAGTGCAGCATGTTTTGGCAGCTTGCCAAACCCCCTCTATTCCAATACATGGTGCATAAACCATCCTGGTGTTACTTCAGCATGCCATGTAGCACTTCCTGAAAGAGATTCAGACAAATTGGTGGCAGCAACTGCTTTCTCCTATCAAAATACCCTTGGCCTATGGGAAAGTGCAATGTGCTGGGAATGAGGAGACCATGAATCTGACACCAATTCTAATAATTAATTCTATGCCCTTCACAACCCTTATTTATTATTTTTTTTATCATATCCCACCAAACGTCTGTGCAAGCTGGGAAAAGAACCCAGAACTCAGTTATGGCAGGCCCACATCCCAACCACTTAGCTACAGTGTGTCATTTCCAATTCTTTGTCCTTAGCTATGCTGTCTGTAAAATATGGCAACACCTGAATAATGGAACCCCCTGTTTGTGTGTTACATGTCATCTTGCAGTGTCTGGTACATGGAAGATAACAGCCTTCTGCCACCAGATGTAGTTAACAACAAGGAGTCTGGTGGCACCTTAAAGACTAACAGATTTATTTGGGCATAAGCTTTCGTGAGTAAAAACCTCACTTCTTCGGATGCAACCAAAGAAGTTGTTTTTGTAGATACAGACTAACACGGCCACCCCCGATACTTGACAGATGTAGTTAGTTCTTTAGTTCAGTTGGTAGACGTCTGTGCCGGTGGTTTTCTAGGTGTGGACCCCTTTAGAAATCTTAGACATAGTCTTCTTACCCCCAGAGGTCCGCGGACCCCAGGTTGAAACCACTAGTCTATGCTGAAAGTTTAGGGTTCACCCTCCCGCACTGATCAGTCATCATGTGAGGGTTGTTAATTACACATAGTAAAATGTATTTTTTCTTAATCTAGGAGAATACACTTACAAATTGTTAAAAGAATCTAGCTAAGGTTGCAAGTCAAGAACTCAAGTTAGGACATTACAGAATGAAAGTGGCCCTTGCAGCCTTAGTTCTGAACCCTTATGTGTATGTCTTAGGGTATGTCTACACTACGAAATTAGGTCAAATTAATAGAAGCCGGTTTTATAGAAATCGGTTGTATACAGCCGATTGTGGGTGTCGCCACATAAAATGCTCTAAGTGCTCTAGTTGGCGGACCGCGTCCACAGTACCGAGGCTAGCGTCGACTTCCGGAGCATTGCACTATGGGTAGCTATCCCACAGTTCCCGCAGTCTCCGCCGCCCATTGGAATTCTGGGTTGAGATCCCAATGCCCGGATGATGCACAACAGTGTCGCGGGAGGTTCTGGGTACATGTCGTCAGGCAATTATGAGCACTATGAACACCACGTGCATTGTCCTGGAGTATATGCAGAGCCAGGACATGCCAAGGCGAAACCCGGACCAGCCGAGGAGGTGATTGCAGCGCGACGAAGAGAGTGATGAGGAAATTGACA